GCTAAACTAACTTATGTATCAGAATAGTGAGGCTATACATAGAAAAGCTTAGCTTATAGTCACTATCGATATCCCCTCTGCGGTCCCCAGCATAAACTAAAGGGCTATTGAATTGCATGCATACAGGTATAAGAGTTCAACCTCGGGTTAAGAGGTGAGGAGTATTGGGCACTGTGCCTGACATTGAGTCCCAGTCTTGTATGGGTCAGCCGATGCCTTGTTGGGGCTGGGTGTGCTCCCCCTGCGCCGGTAGTTGCAGCGATGATGCGTGCCGCATTCCCTGTGGTCCAGCAGTGTAGGAGAAGAGAGTCTCAGTGAGGGCAGAGGACCTAGTCGGTATGTATAATGTGGCTCCAGTTGTGGTTCCCACATGCCGGTGTATTCGTTGGCTGTAGCTGTGGCTGTAGATTTGTGCTGCTGTTGCCGCCATTTTAGGCCTCTTGGTCTGCCACTTGCATGTGTGGATGAGTTGGCCATTGCTCCTCTTAGGCTGGGTCATTGTCGGGGAGCAAGGCGGTGTTCTGCGCTGTGCTTTGGAGGTCCCTTTAAGATGCTTTGCCTGTGCCTGGTCGCGTTCACTCTTGGTGTGACTCTGTTCACCCGACATCGGGTTGGTCGTTTTCAGGCGCCTGTGGGGCCCAGCAAGGGAACTTACGGCATGTGCCGGGACATTCTCTTGGGCCTCTCGTAGTGGGCCGTGTGGCGTAGCTCCAGGCTGGGTCCCCGGTTCCGGGGGCCACTCAAGCTGTTCCAGCCTCTCCCAGAAGGCGTCAAAAATGCAGGTGAGTCTGAGCTCCGTTTCTCTCTCGGCCTTGCAGAGGGTTGAGGCGTGCGTGTCGTTCTCCATTTTGTCAGCCACACCAGCGACCTCCAGTCCGCCCGATCTGTTCAACCGCTTATCACCTGCTGAGGTGACCGTGAGGGGGTGGACCGGGATAACCCCCACCGGTCCAGGGGGGGGGAGAACAAGGGCCCGGAGTCCTACATCTGGCTGGTTCAGGCAGCAGGGAAGCGGCCGTCCTCCCTGTGCCCGCCATGCTGGTAGGCCTCGCTGTGAGTTTGGGTACGCCTGTATAACATCGTTGCTTGAGTGGTGTCTGTGTGTGCGCCCCGGTATCACCCGTCACTTGGTGGCCATTAAACTGCAATTTAGTGCCTTTCAAGCGTCTAGAATCCATTGTTTTAGCCCCAAGCAGCGGGAGCTGATGAGGCATGCTTCCTCTCTGCTCAGCGGTCAGGCCCCCGTTCCATAGATTTTTATGTTTTTAATGAACAATAAGAAGTGTTCACATGGTGTGCAGTGTCAACAAAGAATCGATTATAATGATTTTTAACAAAAAAAAGATGGCAATTTTATTTATTCATCAAACTTAAAGGAACACTTTCGTCTTAGGAATACAAAGCTGTATTTCTAATACTTCAGTATCCCTCTGAAGTCCCTCGTGCTGGCTTCCTCTCCACCTCTTCTGACGTCAGCGCCGAGGGGGAACCTAATGTGTATGCACGGTGAGTACTGTTTGTGTATCAGGCTTTCTCTTTAGAAGAGCATTGATTACCTCACTCCGTGGAGACCATTTGTTTGGAGGAGGACCCACTAGTACACAGGATCTCCTTCCTTCACAAAAGAGGCAACCGCCCTCCAAATCCATGGGAAAATGGGAACTATTTGTTAGCTCTAGGTGAGACCTTCACACCTACACAATGGCAAAAAATATGTGACCTAACAACACTGCGCAATATCAAGTAGGATTCAGGAATTCGCCTATAAGCTCTTGACTTTCTGGTACAAACCCCCACAGGTACGACACGCAGGGACGTTTTAGCCGCAAGGCAAACAAGGCATTTGCCTTGGGCGGCATTTTCCAGGGGGCGGCAAAAAAAGCCTACCCCCAAATGCCCAGGGCAAATGTCTTGTTAGCCTTGTGGCTAACTGACAAGCCGGGCGGGCGGCGCTGGCGAGGGAGCACTTTCCTCTGAGCTGTCTGCTCAGCTCCCTCGCGCGTCATATTCTGGCAGCTCAGAGGAAATTGCTCCCTTGCCAGCACCAACCGCCCGACCAGCAGCCCCACTAGACCCCAGGGAGAAAGAGAACCCCCCAGCATTCCCAAAGGTAATCTGAGTGAGTGTGTGTGTATGTCTGTTAGTTTGTGTCTGTGTGTGTGTGTGTCTGTTAGTGTGTGTGTCTGTTAGTGTGTGTGCGTGTCTGTTAGTGTGTGTCTGACTGTGTGTGTCTGTTAGTGTGTGTGTGTGTGTGTGTCTGTTAGTGTGTGTGTGTTTGCCTGTTAGTGTGTGTGAGTGTGTGTGTGTCTGTTAGTGAGTGTGTGTGTGTCTGTTAGTGTGTGTGTCTGTTAGTGAGTGTGTGTTTGTCTGTTAGTGTGTGTCTGTTAGTGAGTGTGTGTTTGTCTGTTAGTGTGTGTGTGTGTCTGTTAGTGAGTGTGTGTGTGTCTGTTAGTGAGTGTGTTTGCCTGTTAGTGTGTGTGTCTGTTAGTGAGTGTGTTTGCCTGTTAGTGTGTGTGAATGTGTGTCTGTTAGTGTGTGTCTGTGTGTGTCTGTTAGTGAGTGTGTGTGTGTGTGTGTGTCTGTTAGTGAGTGTGTGTCTGTTAGTGAGTGAGTGTGTGTCTGTTAGTAAGTGTGAGTGTGTGTGTTTGTTAGTGTGTGTGTCTGTTAGTGTGTGTGTGTGTGTATGTCTGTTAGTGAGTGTGTGTTTCTGTTAGCTAGTGTATGCATATCTGTCAGTGAATGTGTGTGTGTATTTAGAAGGCGGGGCAGGGGGGAAGGGTTTGGTGGGTGTGGCGCGGGGGTGGGGGCGCCTGAGTTCTGTCCTCCCTAGGGCAGCACAAAACCTGGATACACCACTGACTACACGCCATAATACCCTCCATTGATGAGACATGGTGGAGGTGTGAACTGGAGGTAGGCACCCTGCTACACCTGTGGTGGAGTTGCGACATGATCCGCCCATACTGGAAAATGATTGATAAAATTATCCAAAAATTATCTGATGCCACACCACCTTTTAGCCCAACACCACACTCCGGACCTCACTATACAAAAAGTCTTTGACAATACAAATACTCAATGTAGCCACAAGCCTGATACCACTCTTCTGGAAAAAGGGGATCATCCCACCCCTCACTCTCTGGTTTCAATACATGGAAGAACTACGTGAGTGAGTTATATTGATATTGGCGCAGTCTTATCGCTTGTTTACAGTATTATACTCTTGTATTGTTTTTCTTTCACTATATTATCAGCTATACTACTCTGCTATCTTTGTATACATACTTTGATATCTGGACACACTGGCTACTTACCACACAATCGCCCAACTTCCAATAGCTCGTATGATAGACCCCACACACCCCCTTATGACCAAGACTAAACTTGACCTTACAGAAACACGCACAAACCCTCCACAAGGAAAGGGGCGGCTTGGGGGTAAGTGGTGGGGAATGATGGCTATGCCTCCCCTTTTCCCCCCACACTCCACCCTCTACCTATTACTATATTTCTGCCTTCGTTTCTCACTTAATTCTCTCCCTCTCTTTGCTGTGGGAATGAGCTGGAGCACAGGAAAATTGCAATCCCCATAATAATATAGACGCACCAGAAACGCTTCCACAATATTTTACCTGAATGATGAAATAGTTTTATACCTCAATTGCACTGGATCTCCAATCCTACCTGAAAATCTATATTATTTTGGTTGTTTAAAGGTTGTTTACATTGCAGCTCTAAGTCTGCCCTCAGTGGCTGTCTCAAAGACAGCCACTAGAGAGCTTCCGGAATCTAAACAGACTTTTGGTCCGTTATCTGACGTTGGACGTCCTCACAGACCTCCAGCGTCAGATTTTCCCCATAGGAAAGCATTGGAGGTCTAATGCGCGCGCTCCTATTGCCGCACATGCGCATTAGGTCTCCCTCGCTGGCTGACGTCGCCGGAGGAGGAGCGTGGGCGGAGTCTGACCCAGTATTTTAACCCCTTCAGCCCTGCGGGAGGGGGGCACTACAGGAGCCTATAGTGCCAGGAAAACGGGTTTGTTTTCCTGGCACTATAGGATCCCTTTAATGTATGATTTGGGACCTGTGAGTCTTCTTATTACTACCACGTTTATAGACCTGCGTGTCTAAACCTTGCATTTATCATTGATACCTTACTGAGATACATATGAGGCCTGCGAGTCTCAACTTCTTGCAATGACATATTAACTTATGACAAAACAAAACAATAAAAATAATATTTACAAAAAAGAAAAACATTGATTCAACCAGATATTATAATCAAAAGTGACCCTGGTAGGGCACCTAAAACCTTTTTCTGTCCACCAAATCAGGGAAATTGAATACTTGAATAAATAATAATAATAATAATAATAAAATAAATCATGTGCAATATTGTATTTTAACAAACTGAAGCTCAGTTATTTTAGGGTGATTTTTGTATTTCACCTGCTTTATGACAGAGTACATGCTAGGAATGTTATGATATAAGAGCATTTACCCAGCACTTTGTCCTGAATGGTTAAAAACAATAACATTAAATTAAAGATAAAATATCTTTCTTGAGGAAGCATATATATATCGCTTCCAAAAGTCTTGCGTCTTATAGCATATTCGATGTAGCATATTCGATTAAAAATAATATCAGGAAGTATTACTTTACTGAGAGGGTAGTGGATGCATGGCATAGCCTTCCAGCTGAAGTGGTAGAGGTTAACACAGTAAAGGAGTTTAAGCATGCATGGGATAGGCATAAGGCTATCCTAACTATAAGATAAGGCTAGGGACTAATGAAAGTTTTTAGAAAATTGGGCAGACTAGATGGGCCGAATGGTTCTTATCTGCCGTCACATTCTATGTTTCTATGTTTCTATGTAGGGGTAAATGTACAAAGTTCCCAATATTGACTGTTAGCAGTAGGACATAAGTTAGGGATCAGTGTCTAGGGCAAACCACAGCTAATTAACAGGAGGTAGAAAAGAGAAAACCACCTATTATGTTATAGTCTGGTAGTAATCCTATGCATCAAAACGAATATAGTAGAAAAGAACAACTTAATCTTTCTAATATGTTTAAAGTCCGTTTGAGAGCATTCACTTGTATTGAAAGTATGCAGTGCCCCTAGTAAGACATAAAATCCCAGAGATACTAAGTCCGCTGTAACTGTGTAGTTGTAAAAAAGACAATCACATGAAGCTTTAGGTAGAAGTCTTAGTTATAACAAAAAATATGAGGGTCTCCCCTATGACTTATTCCTAATCAGAAAACGGAATGTCCGAACAAACAGACATGCATACAGACAGTATTGCTAGTATCATATGGGCTACCTAGAGAAGTATACAGAATTAAACTATAAAGTTCCCATCTAAATTCAAAAGATACCCCTCGAAGCCCAATGAAATTAGCTATTGCGAGATAAGCTGCCTAAAGTTGTTCTAAAGTGGTATAGAGTAAGTGACGATTAGAAGGCTACATAGAGAAAACTGTCCTAGCTTAAAAGAATAGCGTCTAAACTCGACACGCGTTTCAGCGCTCTCAGGCGCCTTTTTCAAAAGTACTGACAGGCGCATGCACTCAATGACAGACACACATATGCACTGACAGACG